GAGAATTTGGCATTGGATCAACTATTAATTCCCTAATTGATATTTTTCTTTTTTCTCATCAATTGTCTGCTCGATAGTGTATTGATATTGTAAGGAGAAATTCTGTCTTGGTCACTCATGGGAGCTAAGGGTTAAATGAGGATTAGGGGTGGGAAGGATCCTTGGGTGAAAGTAACTTTCCATTGTAATAAAAAGGCAATTTATCATAAAACAAAATAACCATATAAAATAGTGTAAGATAACAAAATAAAATAGTGTAAGACAACCCGACTATAAATTCCTGCTTATGTCCATAGACCATAAAAAAAATACACAAAAGTGAAACAATACTCTACTTTACCTGGTCATGCTTCCATAGTGCAGGGTAATCATTTTTTGCACAAAGCCCTTTGATGTTGTCAATGGTTTCATTAATTCTGTAGTTGAGATCCCCTAGCCAGAATACATAGCTGAAAGACAAAAAAAGAAAAAGTGGTTCTTTCATCATCATCATCATTATCATATATGGCAACATCATGCTCATCATCCTCATTAAGAACAACAAGATTTTCATCATCATCATCATCATTGCAGATCACCCCAGCTAGTACCAGTGTCAGTCCACCATAACCACTATACCCAACACTACTAACATTGGCAACAAAAATAATTGCAACAACAAGTTAAAATGTATAGAATGTGGATTTTGATATAGTACCTGTGTTCCATTGCTTTTTGAGGTGTACAATTTGCAAATAGCAAATGTTGACTAATGCTCCCATATTCCTGAATTAATAGATAATAAAGAAACTTATTATCAAAACATCAGGCCCTGGTTGTTCAAAGGTTGGAAAACAAATAAAACTCTATCTGGTGGATAACACCATATGTTTAGCTATTACTTATCCACCAGATAGCAATTTGTCTGTTGGATAGCATTATCTGCCTCTTATACAACTGGGCTCAGGTCACTGAAATTGCTCCACCGTGTGCATGTAGGTGAATTTGCAAGTTTGCAATCTCTGAAATTCAAAAGCTGAAGAAGACCTGTGAAGTTAATGCTACCTTAGTTATGCAAATAACCTACTACTCCTTTCATTAAATGGGATCTGAGAGTATCACAGGGTGCAAAAAGCAAGGAGTTTGAGACAGTTCCTCCCTTCTGTATTTTCTCAGGGCCAGCGTCACACTCTCTTTACTATCTGACAAGCAGGAAGTGGCCAAATAATATAACAACTTTAATCTGAGGTGCAAATTCTTATAGTGCAAGCTGTACATGAACATGTAACTGTATGAAAAGTAAGTCTATGAAAGCTCAGTATGGTGTATAATGATGTGCCTTTTATTATTAACTTGAATTATTTCATATTATTAAGTGCAGACAAACATACTGGATGTACTACCAGATTCCTTTGTTCTTCATAGTCAGCGTGAGCAGAGAAATGACTGTTGATGAAGCAGAAGCTTTGTCCATAAAGAGTAAATCTTAATGACACTGCTCCTTTGGTTCCCTAAAAGAGCAAATTACAAGAAAAAAAGCATATGAGTTCACAGTACAACTTGGTTATTCTGAGTAAGAAACTTTAATCTCACAGTGCCTCTTTCCACTCATGAGTAAACATAGGCATGCATAGCATGCAAGAGTTACTTCTTTAGCTGGGTAAGTTGAGACTGGACACTTTGTGTTCCTGATGTTTTCATAACTTTCAAAAGAACCAAAATTTCCCATTACTTCAAGTCAAAAGAAAGATAAAAACATCATTTATCTACACTCACACAGGTATTTTGTGGTATATTGTCTCTATTGTCTAATTACTTCTGAGCAAAAATAAAATACAATGGTGCCACACTTACTGTAGTCTCCTTCACAGTCATTGTTTGTTCTCATCACACAACAACCTCTATTCCCCATTGGAGAGAGAGCCATTGTGTGACAAGACCAAATAATGGTTGCAAAAGAGACTACCCTTACAGCTGTTCCTAACAAAAAGAAAATCAAAATTATTTAGTTGGTTGCCTCAAAAATATAATTCCACATAATTTTACTGCAAAAAGCAGACTGAAATTGTTTCCTCTACAATAAACTGAAGATATATTGTGTTCTTGTATAAGGGAAGATACACTGAGCAAGAGGAAAGGATAATATTTCAAAGAGGGCTCCTTGATTGGTTGTTGCCTATCTGGACTTTGCCCTCTGTGTGTGAAATACATGATAAATTTCAGGTTGTTTACAAGGAATTAAAACCTAATTGGGTTAATTTCAAGGTAGCTAAAATCACTTTTACTCCTGGAAAAAGTCAAAAATGGGAGAATGCCTGGAAAATTCACTATCAGTAGCATAAAGTTCCGCGTAAGAAAAGGAACACAAAAAAATAACTGCAAACCTTTCATATTCCAAAAATCTCAACCTCACTTGACAAAGCTCTTGCAAAGGCCACAATCATGACACTTATTACATAAGCACAAATTTTGTGGTCAATGCCACTCTTTGAGCACAGCCCCCTGATTCCATGACATCATTTACAAGAAAACAATACCCAAGCAATGTAATTGGTGCACGATATCCAAATGCTGTGATATGATTGGTGCAAGATACATAGCCGAATGAAGAAATCTGATCAGTAAGAGATATATACCCTAATGCAGCAATCTGATTGGTGCGAGATACATACCCTAATGCGGTAATTTGATTGGTAGAAGCAACATACTCTACGAGTTAACAGACAGTTATTTTTTTTCGTAAAATCACTCAAAAATGGGTACCGTCACATCTTCAGGGATACTTAACAAACAAAAGGAGTAGCATATATTTCTGGTTGCTATGGGAATAAGGATGTGTTTAGATATCAATTTAGCAAGAGACTTATATGCTTGACCTTTACCTTTATGTAACTACAATGAGATTTAACCCTTTCACTCAAAAGTGACCAAGACAGGGAGTTCTCCTTACATTATTAATACAATATCATGCACATAGGTGATGAGAATAAAGGAAAATATACATTATGGGATTATTAGTTGATCCAATACCAAATTCTCTGAGTAAACATCATAAGAATTGTATGGCAGACAGTAAGGAGAATTATCAATGAGATCTTGGGAGTGAAAGGGTTAATTACACATAAAAACTATCCTCTTTACCAGGAGGCCAAGAAGTGCTGTTTTGCAGTAACCAGGTCTAATTTCACGCACATATGGAAGATGCTTGGTGTGAACAGCTACAAGGTGTACCATTCCAAGCATGCGGATTGATTTGAGCTGCAATGAGAAGTACACTAAATTAACCTTTTCACATAAAAAAACTCAGTGAAACCTCATAATCCCAACATTGATTTTGGTGCTTTACATGTTAGTCTAAAGAAGTAGGAATTCCCCATTACTTACATTCAACTCAACATCTTACTTGCTTACCACATGTACTCGTGCGATACCAGGATGAACACTCAAAGAGAAATTCCATGTCTACATGTACATGTGCCCATGTGTTATTCTCTTTGTAAATGTATCTTTGCTGCCTATTTCTTCCCTTCAATCTCTTGCTTACTTATTTCATCAAGAAGAACAAAGTGTTGTAGTATTGAATACCTTAGTTTGTCTTTTTTTTTCTTTACTTGATCAAAAGGATGGTGGTGGCTTGAAGATAGGAATTTTATTTTTGGGTAGTAAGGAAAGCATTTTACCAAGTCACAATACTTGTTTAAAACATTATTGTTTTCATCATTCCAGAGAAAAAAAATAGTGTCATTACAGCTTGGCATAATATCCTTTATGTATCTGAAAAAAAAAACAAAAACAAAAAGCAAAAAAAAACATAATCATGTCTATATACCTTAACCAAGCCATATGCCCCAAGGTAGGCTTGAAGGATCTTTACCCAGGAATTTTCCTTTATGTATTCAATTAATAATGACTGTGGTTTAGCATCAACCTCCTGCAAACTACAAGTCAATACAATGATATTAATTAAAAGCTTGAGAATAAACCAAGGTTATCTGAACTAATATGTGCACATTCATAATGGAATTGATCAAACTGTTTTGATGACAAATCATCCAATATTCAAACAAATTAATCTTATCAACCAATCAAATAATTCTATTAAGAGGGGAATTACCAGCTTCACTCTTCATCTCAGCCTTTAGTGGCTTGCCTTGACCCACATATATTTGTTTACTAGAAACTAGTAATTACTTGGACTAATACTGATGTTAGCCAGATAATGAGTATTTTTGAAAGAAGGATTTATTTTACACACACAAATTGGATCTAATGTGCCACAAGTTATTACGTTGACCATACTGCAAAAAACACCTCAGATATTAGACAACACTTCTAATAGAAAACTATCATTGTTCACCTTATTTCCATTCCTCATTTACTATTTCCATTTTAATTTCACTTATCTTTTGGAAACTATTGATATTAATAGTGTGGCATGTATCAAATACATAAAGTAAAGCAAAGAGATATCATCGCGTACAAATCTAGGAGTACAAGAACTGTCAAGATAAAAAACACTTCTTTGTTTAAGTGAGAGAATACATACCCCACAGCAACAATATCAGGAAGTTGTTCTTCATTGTCAAGGTGCAAAAGTGATCTGAAGTCTTCATCTGGTGGTTGTGTTACCTTGACATTCCATGTACACACATGAACTCTACAAAGGATAAAAATTATGACCAACACATCTATCAAAAATTACAAATGTCTTGTCAGCATGAATTGCTTGTAGGATTTGCAAGTAGTATAAAGTGTTCTTTTCAGGTTTTTCTGAATGCAGCAAAAGTTTGTTTGCTGACAGAGAACAAAGAGAGAAATTTAATTTTGACAGAGTGGCAGAAAATGTGCATTCAGATATTAAAATATTTATCAATTTTGTTCACTGTTAATTTGCATTATTTTTCTTTGGTCAGATTGCACTGTAAGAAGTGGCCAGGTGCATCAGAAAACACGACCATGGAAAATGAAGTAAAATAATGTGGGAAATCAGAGTTAGATATCAGAGCTTGTGTATCACCTGCAGAGCTTGAGTGTCACTTTTGACTATAGATCAAAAATTACTCTGTTATCAAGCTATAAAAGGACAACTCAACTGCTATTAGACACGGTTATGAGAGGAAAAGACAGGTTTTTTCCAGTAGTATTTACAATTTATCGATGTCGACTTCTTCCAATATTGTTCCTTGCAACTTATATCCAACATCAGTAAAAACTAATTA